CCCCAGTCAGAGCGCAGCATCAACACCGATTTCTTTGTCTGTCGCTCATCCACCGCCAGCCACTGCACAAACTCCTGCAGCGCATCCGACGTCTTGGCGACCGGCCTCACCCACACGTAGCGAGTCTTGCGGTCCTTCAGCAGCAAGAAGTACAGGCTGCCATCCTTGGCAGCCACTCGAAATGGCCCGCACAGGTTGATGTGCACGACGGCCAGCATGTCGTCAGAGTTGGAGCCCTGGTCGGGGAAGATGTGCCGCATCAGTTTCCCGCCGATGCACGAGATACACGGCGAGTCGGCGCCGGATGCTGACTTCAGGTCCAGCCCAGTGGCGACCTTGTGCTTTGAAGACCTCCGGATGGTGTCCATGCCGACGTGTGCAAACCTCGCATGTAGCCTGTCCAGCATCGTATTCGTCGCCGAGACAATCGCCTGCAGGGCCACGACCTCCGTCGTGGGCGTTGTCGACTTCGTCGAGCAGGGACGTAGGTCGATGCAGAGTACTCGCTTGATGTAGGACGTCCGACCGAGGACGTCTCCTGCCGCCGAGACGAGCAACATACCGTCGCCGTCCTCCTGCAGCTTCACACCATTCTCCTTCAGCTGGTAGGCTGAAAGCAGGATCGCTCGTATGCCCGGGACGTAGGGCACGTCGGGGATGAGCACCTGCCTCCCGCCCTCCCCTTGTAGAGTGACAATGCCGCGGCCTTGGACGTCCTGCAGCACCCCATTGAAGCCGCGCACGTGCTTGACGTCACCGCTCGGCTGTAGGTTGACGAAGACCTCCTTCGTCCCCATCGGGTTGTGCGAGCAGCCGCTGTTGAGCAGGACCACCACCGGGTTCGCTTGCACAGTTGCCGCCACAGCCTGGAAGTCCTCGCCGGCCTTTGACGCCAGCGAGACGTCCGGCTCCACGACGCCGACAAGCGAGCACGACGCCGTCTTGTCGTCTCGCCCCTTACCGCCAGCAGAGGAGTTGGCGTCCTTCGCCGAGGTCGACTTGGTCGACTGCTTCTCCTTGCGCGGCTTGTTTCCTCCTCGATGGGGACGGCGGCTGCCAGACCTCGCAAGGCCTCCCTTGGCGTCGTCGTCGTCGGAGTCGCTGCGGTCAGGGCACTCAAAGGAGAGGTGGTCAGGGTTGCCGCACAGCCAACGCACTCCCGACGTCGACTTCCTCCTCCTCGACCGCTGTCTCTGGCCGACTTCTTCTTGTCGACGTCCTTGGTCGGCTTCCAGCCGCTGCTACAACTGCCACCAGACTGCCCACGCTGCCTCGGTCAAACACCTTGCTTTGCCGGGGCGACGTAGTTCACCTACGCCAAGAGCTCCTGGGACCGCTCAGCCTCCTGCATCGCCTCTTCCTGCAAGATGTATGAGGTCAAGGTGTCCTCGTTGAGCGTCGCCCGCGTGCTCGGCGCCATCGTCAGCCACTTCAGTAATTTGTAGCTGCTCGGGAGACCTTGCATGACATGCGTGACGTACGATGCCGCTGAGTGTTGCGCGCCGTCCATCCTTATGGTGGCGAGAATTTGCCGAGCTCGGTTGCAGTAGTCGGTCGCGGTCTCCTGGTCGCCCATACGCAGGTGCGTCAGCTGCCCCTCAAGCTGACCGATGAACAAGTCATCGGTGACCTGGTACGTCGACTCGATAAAATGCCATGCCCGGTGGCCTGCATCGAAGTACTCCCTGCACGACTTCAAGGCGATTTGCACGCCCGGCGAGCAACACCGCGAGATGACAGTGAAGGTCAGCAACTGCACGGCGCAAAACTCCGCACGTAGGTTGGGGTCCTCTGGCGTCGCCACGGTACCGCGGGCAAAGCCGATCAGCCCGGCCAACTCCAGCTGGGGCTCGATAGCTTCCTTTGAAGTGAGGATATCTGGTCGACCAACGAGCAGGGGGGTGACCGAGATCCTGTCCGGCGTAAACTTGAAGTAGCCGTAGCTCGGCGCAATCCCGCCCGCTGTCACGTTGGTCGCCGACATCGGCGACAAACCACTTCGTCGACCACTGAGGTCGCCTTGCGAGGAGCCTACAACCACCGACGACCGTATCCCTTGCGTCTAAACGCCGCCAACTTCATCGGCATGTATCACACCTCCCTGCCTCGACGTGCCTCCCGCACTGCTGCCGACTTGGCCACCACCAGCGTTGACGCCCATGTCGACGCCGCCTTCGTTGTTCATCGGTCGAGGAGAAGCTGGTCGAGAAGGGGGGTGTTCCGTCGCCCACACGGTGCGGAGTCCAGCCTCGATGACCGCCCAGGGGATTGCCCCATACTCCTGGGCCTCATGGCGTCTCCTCGCATCCTCCAGCTGTGCCTCTAGGGTGTCCATCCCATCTGTGTCACCTACGCGCACGCTAGTGACTGCACATCTGCCAGCCTACGAGCAACTTAGGTAAGTGACCACTACGTCGACCTGACTGATAGGTAAGTCGTGTGCCGTCCACGCTGACCGCACCATGCGGAGATAACTCTATCAACGGGAGCTAGACTACGGGCTACGCACGGAGTAGGAGGGATCTATACGTTCGTTCCTTAGTCGTTCTCTAGCACTTGTGCATTCACGGGGCAAAACTGCAAGAGTTTCACTAGCAAAAGTTGAGAACAATGATCAAGAATGATAGCAACAAAGTTGGCATGCAAGACTACATCAGTACTAGCAAAGCTGCTGATCGACTTCCAGTGCAGCACGGTCGACCACGTGCCAGCACGACTTGGTCGACCGCGCTCCAACAGAGCAAATTCGCGGCTTGCCAACATTAGAAGTCCACGGTGTGGCAACGCTGCTGCAAGTCGGCTGCACAGCGTTGCACCCGCAGGACAACGATGCACCCACTTCGCAGGTGCGCACAGCTGGTTAGTGCGCCATTCCTCGTCACAGGCACAGCGCAGACGCCTAGCAGGTTCCACGCCAGCGACTGCGTCTACCAGCCACGTCGACCTCGGGATACCACTTCCGAGGTCGGCCTTGCAGAACCACCCCGGCGACCTTCGCACACGTCGCCCAGGTATCCCGGTCGACCGGGCAACCAGGTTGCTGTTGTCAGGTCGGCGTCATCCCTGGTCGGTGTCCCCTCGTCGACCATGATGGTACTAGGCCGCTGACGTCGCCAAGTCGTCAGCCACCCAAGGTCGGCGCCCTCCACCCGGCGCCCTGCTGCTCGATGCCCAGCTACTCGGCGTCCCCAGCCTCTTCTGTCGAGGTTGACATCGGCCCCTCCTTCGTCGACCACCAAGTCAGGTCGACCACCCCAAAGTCGGCGCCCAAAAGTCGGCGCCAGTGTAGTGGCCGCAGTGCAGGTCGAGCCACCTTGTCGACCAGCTCGCCCACTGCTGCAGGTCGGCTGCACTCCCCCGCATACCCGGCCACAAGGTGGGCTCCGTCCAAGCGTGGACGGGCCAACAGACAACTCCCGTTGACAGGGAGTGCGGAGAGTCACTTGACAAAGGTATTGAGATAGAATACGGGGGTTGGCACGAACTACTAGGAGTGATCGTTGCTTTGCCCAGCTCCTTAGCGCTTGCATATTCATTGGAGAAGTTGGCAAGATTTTCCACTAGCAAAGTCGAAATTGTAGAATGATTTAACAAGCAATGACAGAATTGACAACATCAGGCACCTAGCAACTCTGCAGCTAGCCTGGTCGACCGCCAGCACTGCATGGTCGACCGCCAGCACTGCATGGTCGACCGCTTGCCAGCGTTGCGTAGAGGAGCCGTGCCAGCACTGCAGAAAGGCGACATGCAAACAATATAGGTCGACGGCGCGCCAATGCTGCAGCAGCGCGGCTGTCCAGCACTGCACCCGTTGAAGGCAGCAGTGCCCACGCTCGCAGGAGCGCGCAGACGATTGGCCCGACTTGCACCGTTGTGCATCCATTGGCTGTTGTCTGCACGTGACGAGCCACATCGACTTCGAGATACCAGCCTGAATTCGCCTTTGCCATCGTGACCTTGACGACGTTTGCGTGCCTCCGCAGAACACGTCGAGCATGTTACCCGGTCGACGCGGACACCACCAGGTCAGTGTCGACTTGTTCGGCGAATGTCGACCTGAAGTTGTATGTGCTCGTCAAACACCTAGTGCTCTGGTCGACGACTCCCTCGTCGACCACACCTCCCGTCGAGCCACATCCAGGTCGACCGATCCCTCTGTCGACCAGCACTACAGCTGCAGTCGCCAAGCTCCTTTCGTCGACTGTTGCTCTCATGTCAGGTCGACGAACTGCTCCGTCGGCCTCTCGTCGAACTGCTCCTCCTGGTCGACGGCTCACCCATCAACCAACCCAGTCAACTACAACCGTCGAGCACCCTTGGTCGACGGCAACCCCACAGTGATCCCTGCAGCTCGACGAAGCCTGTCGAACAGCTCCCTCACTGTGAACGGCCGGCTGCTTCTCCCGTACATGCGACCAAGTCGTCGGCGTTGCCCAAGCGAGGGCGGGGCCAACAATCCATTCCCGTTAACAGGGAGCGCCATGCGCTGCTGTAAGAACGAGTTGCCTTCTATGCCAACAACGAAGAAGAGCGACGACAGCGGCGACACTACAACAACATATGCAAGAATTCCGAGCATTCTGCGTGACCGACAAGACGTGAGACAAGATTCCCATCAAGCCGAGGGCTTTCATACCACACAACCCACTGCAAGCTCGTCAGTTCTGCACCAGCAGCAGCAGCGGGCACAACCAAGAGGGTCCGGCAACTTCATCGGCAACATGGCTATGCGTCACATACAGGGAACCCGTTGTCGCCGCGTGCGCATTCCGTCACCCGAGGGCACGAAAAATCCAATAGCAACAACTCCTTCACTTCGGACCATAATTACAACGACGACGACAGCCGTGACTAGAACTTTCCAGCCCCCCTGCTAGAAAGCCGCCCTCCCACCCCCCCTCCCCCCCCTCCCACCTCCTCCCCACCCCCCCCGCCAATATGCATGAAACCAAGCCAGCGCCCATCGACTGGATGCACGTGAACGATTCTTAAAGTTCGACATGCCACACATCGTCACGCCGCGACTCGCGCGCGCGATGTTGACAAGCAACATAACACTTGGTATCTCGACAGTTGATGCGGGCAGCACATGGTGGCCTCTAGGCACTACATCAACGCTGTCGCCACCTCCACGGTCAACTACATCACGGCGGCGAACAACGAGTGCCTGCGTGCAAACGCGGAAGGGATTGTTGTCCTTAAAGGGCGCGGAAGCAACACATACATCACGTTGAATGATGCGCTCGTCGCGAAGAGCATACGATTTCAGCTTGTCTGAGAGTCACGGCTGATAGATTGCGGAGTGCAACTCAACACTGGCTAGGAAACGCACGACAATGTTCTGCATTACGCGCCTCCCGAAACACCATGCAAGTTACTCGGAGGACCACGTGCCCACAACGGCGTGTATGTTCTGGATTTTGACATTCTAGACTGTTGCGACGACACGGATGAATTAATCGACCTCATCCCGCTTCGCTTCCAGCATATCCACTACTCCAAGTGGAAGAGAGGCCCTTGGTGCCGCACCACCCGCACCCGAGTGAGACGGCTCTACACAACCCCGACCCTGACGGCATATGTAGGGACTGCCACGCTGACCTCCATTGTCGAAGTTGAGCGATACACCTCGTCGTACATGTCAAACTCATATGCTATAGTCTGTGTAGGCTGTAGTGGGGTAGACAATATGGGGTACAACACTTTTAGGTTTTCCTACTTGTACCCACCTGCTTGCTAGTTCATTCATTCCTTCCTCATTTCTTCACATGGTATAGAGCAGGTTCCCTAGTGGGAACGCTTCTCAGGGCCCACCACTGAATTTTTTTTTCCTGATCGGAGCGCGAGTCGCCCCTGCCCGAGGCGCGCCCCGTTGGCCGCCATCACGTCGCCTCTCACGGCCCCCCTCGCGCCACCCTTAGCGGCCCCGTCGCCACCCCTTACGGCCCCGTCGCCGTCCTTTGCGGCCCCGTCGCCGCCCCCACTAGGCCCCTCGCGGCCCCTTCGCGGCCCCGTCACCGCCCCTAGCGGCCCCGTCGCCGCCCCTCGAGGCCCCTCTCGGCCCCTTTGCGGCCACGTGGCCGCCCCTAGCGGCCCCGTCGCCGCCCCTATCGGCCCCGTCGCCGCCCCTATTGGCCCCGTCGCCGCCCTTCGAGGCCCCTCGCGGCCCCTTTGCGACCCCGTCGCCGCCCCTAGCGGCCCCGTCGCCGCCCTGCGAGGCCCCTCGCGGCCCCTTTGCGGCCCCGTCGCCGCCCCTAGCGGCCCCGTCGCCGCCCCTAGCGGCCCCGTCGCCGCCCCTATCGGCTTCGTCGCCGCTCCTAGCGGCCCCATTCTACCGCTTTCCATCACCCGCCCCATTCTCCGGCTTTCCATCACCCCGTCCCATTCTCCCTCTTTCCATCACCCCGCCCCATTCTCCGGCTTTCCATCTCTCCGCCCCATTCTCCCGCTTTCCATCACCCCGCCCCATTCTCCCGCTTTCCATCTCTCCGCCCCATTCTCCCGCTTTCCATCACCCCGCCCCATTCTTCCTCTTTCCATCAGCCCGCCCCATTCTCCCGCTTTCCATCACCCCGCCCCATTGTCCCTCTTTCCATCACCCCGCCCCATTCTCCCGCTTTCCATCACCCCGCCCCATTCTCCCGCTTTCCATCACCCGGCCCATTCTCCCGCTTTCCATCACCCCGCCCCATTCTCCCGCTTTCCATCACTCCGCCCCGTTCTCCCGCTTTCCATCACCCGGCCCATTCTCCCTCTTTCCATCACCCCGCCCCATTCTCCCGCTTTCCATCACCCCGCCCCGTTCTCCCGCTTTCCAGCACCTTGCCCCATTCTCCCGCTTTCCATCACCCCGCCCCATTCTCCCGCTTTCCATTACCCCGACCGCTTCTCCCGCTTTCCATCACCCCGCCCCATTCTCCCGCTTTCCAGCACCCCACCCCATTCTCCCGCTTTCCATCACCCCGCCCCATTCTCCCGCTTTCCAGCACCCCGCCCCATTCTCCCGCTTTCCATCACCCCGCCAGATTATCCCGCTTTCCATCACCCCGCCCCATTCTCCCGCTTTCCATCACCCCGCCCCATTCTCCCGCTTTCCATCACCCCGCCCCATTCTCCCTCTTTCCAGCACCCCGCCCCATTCTCCCGCTTTCCATCACCCGCCCCATTCTCCCACTTTCCATCACCCCGCCCCATTCTCCTGCTTTCCAGCACCCCGCCCCATTCTCCCGCTTTCCATCAACCCGCCCGATTCTCCCGCTTTCCATCATCTCGCCCCATTCTCCCGCTTTCCATCACCCCGCCAGATTATCCCGCTTTCCATCACCCCGCCCCATTCTCCCGCTTTCCATCATCCCGCCCCATTCTCCCGCTTTCCATCACCCCGCCAGATTATCCCGCTTTCCATCACCCTGCCCCATTCTCCCGCTTTCCATCACCCCGCCCCATTCTCCCGCTTTCCATCACCCCGCCCCGTTCTCCCTCTTTCCAGCACCCTGCCCCATTCTACCGCTTTCCATCACCCGCCCCATTCTCCGGCTTTCCATCACCCCACCCCATTCTCCCTCTTTCCATCACCCCGCCCCATTCTCCCGCTTTCCATCTCTCCGCCCCATTCTCCCGGTTTCCATCACCCCGCCCCATTCTTCCTCTTTCCATCAGCCCGCCCCATTCTCCCGCTTTCCATCACCCCGCCCCATTGTCCCTCTTTCCATCACCCCGCCCCATTCTCCCGCTTTCCATCACCCCGCCCCATTCTTCCTCTTTCCTGTTATAGTCACAGTAGGCTCCAATGTGCATAAAACGAAAGATAGAGTGCACAGCCGGATTTCTGCACAGCGGCTTCAAACGTTCATAGCATAATGACCTGATTCAACTTGGATCTGGCGCGTCTTAATGTCGCCTACAATAGGCAATTTAGATCGCACGATTCGACCAAGTATTGACGACACAGCGTCGGTTTGAACGAACGGCACTATGGCAGCCACTATAGTCTTAGAACACAAGATAGGAAGAGTTAGCAAGGGTTACGAGTTGGGAATGACTCCCAGCTCCTACAAACCCCAAGAGCCGAGGTACAGTGATGTGGAACAGTGCCACACTGTCCCCAACCACGAAGGGTCTCGAAACTACCCTTCACTAGGGCCTACACCAAGTGAAATGTTACACTACACAAAGTAATGTAACTATCTTCAATATCTTGAGGTGTACCCTTTTGGCGAGCTTCGAAATCACTTGAGGCTTGACACCAAGGCTCGGGCTCTTCATCACAAACTCATCCTTGAGTTCTTGATGGGTCTGCTGCACACACCTGCGACACACCGAACGTTCGACACATGACAAAATAGAAACCGCGCAAAACAAAATAGAAACCGCGCGCGAGACACAAACGACCGCGTAACACGCGTCTAGCGATAACTCGCTATTGACTCGACACACACACTTGACATCATGACTCAACATTCACACACAATTATAAGCATGAAATATATATTATCCCATGCCCTCATACCATTCCATATACACACACATGCACGCACACGGACAACAAGCCGAGTGCAAACCGTAGGGTTGCACCAACATTTCCATCAGCCCGCCCCATTCTCCCGCTTTCCATCACCCCGCCCCATTGTCCCTCTTTCCATAACCCCGCCCCATTCTCCCGCTTTCCATCACCCCACCCCATTCTCCCGCTTTCCATCACTCTGCCCCGTTCTCCCGCTTTCCATCACCCGGCCCATTCTCCCTCTTTCCATCACCCCGCCCCATTCTCCCGCTTTCCATCACCCCGCCCCGTTCTCCCGCTTTCCAGCACCTCGCCCCATTCTCCCGCTTTCCATCACCCCGCCCCATTCTCCCGCTTTCCATTACCCCGACCGCTTCTCCCGCTTTCCATCACCCCACCCCATTCTCCCGCTTTCCACCACCCCACCCCATTCTCCCGCTTTCCATCACCCCGTCCCATTCTCCCGCTTTCCAGCACCCCGCCCCATTCTCTCGCTTTCCATCACCCCACCCGATTATCCCGCTTTCCATCACCCCGCCCCATTCTCCCGCTTTCCATCACCCCGCCCCGTTCTCCCGCTTTCCATCACCCCGCCCCATTCTCCCTCTTTCCAGCACCCCGCCCCATTCTCCCGCTTTCCATCACCCGCCCCATTCTCCCGCTTTCCATCACCCCGCCCCATTCTCCTGCTTTCCAGCACCCCGCCCCATTCTCCCGCTTTCCATCAACCCGCCCGATTCTCCCGCTTTCCATCATCCCGCCCCATTCTCCCGCTTTCCATCACCCCGCCCCATTCTACCGCTTTCCATCACCCACTCCATTCTCCGGCTTTCCATCACCCCGCCCCATTCTCCCTCTTTCCATCACCCCGCCCCATTCTCCCGCTTTCCATCTCTCCGCCCCATTCTCCCGCTTTCCATTACCCCGCCCCATTCTTCCTCTTTCCATCAGCCCACCCCATTCTCCCGCTTTCCATCACCCCGCCCCATTGTCCCTCTTTCCATATCCCCGCCCCATTCTCCCGCTTTCCATCACCCCGCCCCATTCTCCTGCTTTCCATCACCCAGCCCCATTCTCCCGCTTTCCTTCACCCCGCCCCATTCTCCCGCTTTCCAGCACCCCGCCCCATTCTCCCGCTTTCCATCACCCCGCCCCATTCTCCCGCTTTCCAGCACCCCGCCCCATTCTCCCGCTTTCCATCACCTCTCCCCATTCTCCCGCTTTCCAGCACCCCACCCCATTCTCCCGCTTTCCATCACCCCGCCCCATTCTCCCGCTTTCCAGCACCCCGCCCCATTCTCCCGCTTTCCATCACCCCGCCAGACTATCCCGCTTTCCATCACCCCGCCCCATTCTCCCGCTTTCCATCACCCCGCCCCATTCTCCCGCTTTCCATCACCCCGCCCCATTCTCCCTCTTTCCAGCACCCCGCCCCATTCTCCCGCTTTCCATCACCCGCCCCATTCTCCTGCTTTCTATCACCCCGCCCCATTCTCCTGCTTTCCAGCACCCCGCCCCATTCTCCCGCTTTCCATCAACCCGCCCGATTCTCCCGCTTTCCATCATCCCGCCCCATTCTCCCGCTTTCCATCACCCCGCCAGATTATCCCGCTTTCCATCACCCCGCCCCATTCTCCCGCTTTCCATCATCCCGCCCCATTCTCCCGCTTTCCATCACCCCGCCAGATTATCCCGCTTTCCATCACCCTGCCCCATTCTCCCGCTTTCCATCACCCCGCCCCATTCTCCCGCTTTCCATCACCCCGCCCCATTCTCCCTCTTTCCAGCACCCTGCCCCATTCTACCGCTTTCCATCACCCGCCCCATTCTCCGGCTTTCCATCACCCCACCCCATTCTCCCTCTTTCCATCACCCCGCCCCATTCTCCCGCTTTCCATCTCTCCGCCCCATTCTCCCGGTTTCCATCACCCCGCCCCATTCTTCCTCTTTCCATCAGCCCGCCCCATTCTCCCGCTTTCCATCACCCCGCCCCATTGTCCCTCTTTCCATCACCCCGCCCCATTCTCCCGCTTTCCATCACCCCGCCCCATTCTTCCTCTTTCCTGTTATAGTCACAGTAGGCTCCAATGTGCATAAAACGAAAGATAGAGTGCACAGCCGGATTTCTGCACAGCGGCTTCAAACGTTCATAGCATAATGACCTGATTCAACTTGGATCTGGCGCGTCTTAATGTCGCCTACAATAGGCAATTTAGATCGCACGATTCGACCAAGTATTGACGACACAGCGTCGGTTTGAACGAACGGCACTATGGCAGCCACTATAGTCTTAGAACACAAGATAGGAAGAGTTAGCAAGGGTTACGAGTTGGGAATGACTCCCAGCTCCTACAAACCCCAAGAGCCGAGGTACAGTGATGTGGAACAGTGCCACACTGTCCCCAACCACGAAGGGTCTCGAAACTACCCTTCACTAGGGCCTACACCAAGTGAAATATTACACTACACAAAGTAATGTAACTAACTTCAATATCTTGAGGTGTACCCTTTTGGCGAGCTTCGAAATCACTTGAGGCTTGACACCAAGGCTCGGGCTCTTCATCACAAACTCATCCTTGAGTTCTTGATGGGTCTGCTGCACACACCTGCGACACACCGAACGTTCGACACAGGACAAAATAGAAACCGCGCACGACAAAATAGAAACAGCGCGCGAGACACAAACGACCGCGTAACACGCGTCTAGCGATAACTCGCTATTGACTCGACACACACACTCGACATCATGACTCAACATTCACACACACTTATAAGCATGAAATATATATTATCCCATGCCCTCATACCATTCCATATACACACACATGCACGCACACGGACAACAAGCCGAGTGCTAACCGTAGGGTTGCACCAACAAACTCCCCCTCGGATTGTTGGCCTTAGGATATGTTGCTCTCTCAGTTCAGAGCCATCCCAGCCAGCTTGCAACACTTCCAATGCTGCTGCTCCACCAGCCTCTTGGTCATCATGTCAGCCGGCTGCCCCGTGGTCTTCACGTAGCGCAACTCAACTTCACCCGCGGTTACCATGCTCCTCGTCCAATGCCACTTCACCCTCATGTGCTTCGTGAGTCCATGCAACACAGGGTTCTTAGCAAGAGCAATGGCACCCTGGCTGTCACAATACAGTGGGGTAGGTCCTTGCTGCTCCTCCCCCAATTCAGCCAACAAACGCCGCTGCCACACAATCTCCCGTACGGCACGGAAGAGTGCCATGTATTCGGACTCCACCGAGCTCAAAGCTTGGTCAACCTGCTTCTTGCTCTCCCAAGCAGTTGGGCCTCCACCAACACAGCATATGAAGCCTCCCACACTTGTCATGTCCTCTGGTTCTGATGCATATGAAGCATCCGAGTAGGCGGTGAGGAACAAACGCCCGGGTTCAACACCATCCGCGCCCTTTTGGCGCCTTTGTGCCGCCGGCGAGTATTGCAGCCCAACGGTCGGTGTTTGGCCAAGATACTTGGCCACCCTCATTCCAGATGCTACCTGCTCCTCATTAGGGCATTGCACAACCCTAGCCAGCTGCCCGGTAGCAAACGCGACGTCCGGTCGGGTGTTTACCGCCGCATACATGAGGCTGCCCACCAACGAGTGAAATCGGTGCCTCTCCTCTTCTCCAACGCTCTCCTCCTCTGGCCCCTTCACACACTTGAACCCAGAGGGAAATGGAGTAGCCACATGACCTTCACTCTGGCCGAAGTTGGCAGCCAACGCCTCCAGGTACTTCCGTTGGTGCACTCGTATGCTCCGCTTCTCCACGTCTCGTTGGATGTGGAGCCCAAGGTAGAAGTTCACGTCACCAAGGGACTTGCACTTGAACTTGTCTTGCAGCTTCAGCATCACCTCCTTCACAAGGTCAGGAGAGGGTGAGAAGATCAGGATGTCGTCCACGTACACCACCATGAAGCTCCTCTGCTCCCCCTCGCCAAGCATGAACAAGGAGTGATCGGCCGTTGAGGGAGTGAAGCCGATCCCCTCCAACACTTCGCGCAGCTTCATGTACCATTGCCTAGGGGCCTGCTTCAGCCCATAGAGGGCCTTCTTCAGCTTCCACACTCTGCCACTACCATCATCAAACCCCTCTGGCTGCGCCATAAAAATCTCCTCCTCAAGGATGCCGTTAAGGAATGCCGTTACGATGTCCATTTGCTTTACTACCCATCCTTTGATGGCGGCTCCTGCGAATAGGGTTCGCAGCGTCGTCGGCTTCACCACAGGGGCAAACAGCTCCTTGAAGTCCACCTTCTCCTTCTGCTGGTACCCCTTGGCTACAAGCCTAGACTTGTAGCGCTCGATCTTGCCGTCCGCATCCGACTTGATTTTGAAGAGCCACTTGGACGTTATCGCCGTACGCCCCTCCGGTAGCTCCACCAATTCAAACGTGTCATTCTCCTCGATGCTCTTCAGCTCACTCTCCATGGCCTTCTTCCACTCCTCAGCATCACTACTCTCCAAAGCCTCCTTGAGAGTTGCTGGTTCTCCCGGCATCTCCACCGGAGAGAAGAACGCGAATGCACACTCCTCGTAGTCACTCTCCTCGTCGTCTCCGACCATCATTGCCGCTCCGGCCAGGGCTGTCTTGCCCTGCTTTCCCGACGCATCATAGGTCAGCCTATTAGGGGGTTGAACTCTCCTCTTCCCCCTTCCTTCCTCCTCAGCTGCAGGGACTTGAAGGCCTTAGCGTTGCTGCGGTGTGGCTCGAATCCGTGGAGCACTCGTAGTACGGGAAGGGAGTGACGGTGCACGCTCGCTCACTTGCTGCACCTCCTCCTGTTCTTCCTCTGCATCATTGTCCTCCTCTCCCCCATTCACAAGGGAGGATTGCCTTGTGGTTGTGCTGCCGCTGCTCAGCTCCAAAGGCAGCTCCACATGCTCCAAACCGGAACTCTTCACCTCCCCAAACCGCACGCCTATCTTCGCCTCATTCTCCGCCTTCCAATCCTTGTACATGAAGTTCTCCATGAACTTGCAGTCCCTGCTCACCAAGAACTTCTTGGTGAATGGGTCCCAAAGAAGCCATCCCTTGCTGTTTTGAGCCATGCCCAAGTGCACGGCCCACACCGCCTTGGCACCAAGCTTGTTGTGCTGAAGATGCTTAGGCACGAGCGCCATGCACATGCACCCGAACACCCGAAGCATATCCACCTTTGGCTTCCTTCCTAGCCACTCCACATAGGGCACCCATTTGTCTGCTCCCACATGAGTCAAAACTCTGTTCTTGGCCACACACGCGCTTCGCACCGCATCAGGCCAGAAATAGTCGGGTAGCCCGGCTTCAATGAGCAACCCGCGTGCCGCCTCCGTGATTGTGCGGTTCGCTCGCTCGGCGATGCCGTTCATTGCAGGGGAGTATGGCATGGTGAGGGAGTGCCGAATACCATTCTTCTTCAGCCACAACCCAAACTCCTTGCTCAGGAACTCTCCCCCTCGATCGGTGCGGATTGACTTGACTAGACGGTCTTGTTGCCGCTCCACCATCGGGAACCAATCCGTCTTCAACGTTTCAGCCACGTCGCTCTTCTTGGCCAGCACATACACCCAAGTCATGCGGGTGTAGACGTCGACAATGGTGAGAAAATACTCAGCTCCAGCAGCTCCAAGCTTCAGGGGGCCCACCACGTCCATCACCACCTCATCAAGTGGTGCCTTTGCCGTTGCCTCCGAACTAGGGAACGGAAACCGGGTGAACTTGGCTTGAATGCACGTCGGGCAGCCAAGCACCTCATCGGGCTCCCCCTTCACACGTATGCCAGCAACCATCTCATTCTTCACTAGCTGCTGCAAGATGGGCAGGGCCACATGCCCCATGCGCCGATGCAAGGTGAGCCAATCACACTCCCCCGTACCCGAAGTTGGATTGGAGAATGCCGCGCTCGCAATAGCGCCCCACATACTCTCTCCGTAGTCCTCCTCCGCTGCTGCCTCGGGGTTCTCCTCACCCTTTTGCTGCTCCTTGGTTGCTGCACCACTCTCCTTAGGTTCACTGAACTTGCTGGTCCCTCCAGGTTTGCTCTTCTTGAGCTCATTCTCCTTAGCGCGACCGTTCGCGCCATCGTCGCTACCGACCGCTCCATCCTTGGTGCTGATGCTTGCTGCCACTTGCCTCTCCTTAGGCATAGGGACCACTGGGATCTGCCACATCTCGTTGTAGACATCCCTTTCCTCATGAAGGTCCCAAAGAATTCGATCGCCAAGCCTTGCGGTGTAGGTCTTGGCTCCCTTCGAGTTCGTGTCCATGCCGGCCTTTGCCAACCGCCGCACGGAAATCAGGTTTGCAGCAAGGCTGGGCACCCAAAGCACGTTCTTGAGGCCCACCATCTTCCCATCAGCACCCTTGAACATGGCCTTGCCCATGCCTTTCACCTCTGCTCGCTGCCCCAAAGCCGATGTGACATGCTTCACCGGTGACGGCTCGAGTTCGGTGAGCAAGTCCGGGTGAGGTAGCGCCACTATCAATCACCCAATAGTCCAGGGGGTGTAGGGTCACCTTCCCCACAGCTGCTGGCTCCTCAAGGCCTTGATCCTTCTCTGGACCAGCCGGTACTTGCGTCGACACGAAGTAGAATAGACCCGGGTATCGATCGTCGCTCGGGTCCTTGTCGTTGTCTCCGCTCTTCATGTTTGCAGCTCCGCCACCGCGACCGCCACGGCCTCCACGGCCTCGTCCTCTCCCTCCTCCTGCTCCTCTACCCTCTTGGCCTTGAGCAGGGGTCCAACCATCAGGGAGTTTGTAGCAGTCGCGCCACATGTGTCCGCTCTTGTGGCAATAGTGACACTCGCCGTCGAATCGGCCGCGACCGCGTCCGTAGCTCTTGTCGTCGCTGCCGTAACCGCCACTCCCGCGGCCTCCGCCGAAGTTGCTGCCACCAAACCTTCCTCCCCCTCGTCCTCTACCTCTTCCTCGACCATATCCACGGCCGATGCTCGCTGCCCCAGCGCCATCCGCACTCGCCAACTCACGGCGGCGGAAATCCTCTTGAAGGATAGCTCGCTTCACGTCTTCAAGCGAGAGGCGGGGCAAGTCGCGATTAAGGTTGATGATGAGCGAG